CGACCCTCGAAGTGAGCCATGTCCAAGCACGAGAATGAAAAGAACCATAAGGTCCACCACGACTCAAGTAAACCTCAAATATCTAAACTTTAACTATAAGATCCATAGAAAATCAAAATATCATACTTATAACCACAATCTTACCGAATTCCTTATAATTTCAACATGGTTTAAATTCCATAAAAAATATTATCCATAATTAAAAACCTAATATAATTTCCACAAATATAACTACGGAGCTTTAGATTGTACTAAATATCAAAATACATGTTCCAAAATATTACAAGTAAATGAGCCACACGATCAAAGTGTCGGCTTCAAGACAAACAAGTTTGGTGGAAGTCAACAAGTGATCTCACAAGTCGAGCAAAACTAAAATGGTGGAACATAAGCAAAAAAATGGCTCGGTGATCGGATAACATATAACATAACTAAGGAAGAAAAACGGACAAATGATCGATAATTTAAAACTTGTTTGAGATACAATGTATGTTTTTCAAAGTCAAATACATACTTATCTTAAATATCAAATCGTATCTCATATTCTTAAATCATCCTAAACCATAATCGAAATCTCATATCAAAATACTTATAATCAAATTAGATCATATTGGTAGTAAAACTACATTGGGGGCAATAAAATCATACTCGTATCGTTGGATGCGAACATCTAAAGGTCACACCCTCGGTGATTAGGTGTACCACATGTTAGTCGATACGAGGGCTAACACTCGCACCTTTTTTGCTAGTTGAAGCATTTTTGTATCGGTGAGCTCACGAAGTTATACCTTTCGTAGCTAGGTATTTCAAGGTAGTCAAACAAATAAAAAATTGAATAAACCGATATATATTCTAAAAATAATCTAAACCAAGTATATCCAAATATAATTTATACTTATAATCAAATTTGATATTGCAATTCAATATCAAATATCATAAATCATAATCTAAACTCAAATCCAAACTCATATTTGAAATCATAAATCAAATACTTAATTAAGTTATATGAATGAAATCATAATCAAGGATCTTAATCAAACTAATAATTTAATCTAGAAGATTTATTAAAAATACTCAAATTTAAAGATTTTAAACTAGACATTTACTCTCTCCACCCATTCTAAACAATCAATCAATAATTCTATCCGAAGTTCATTTTATAATTTTTTTTTCTAACAATCTAATTTACAATTTACTACAAATAATCATCCATCATCAATTTTTAATAAAGCTTCACATATATAATCTTTTATTTACAACTCATCATCCCAATCAAATTGAGAATTTCTCAAACCCGTGGTCCAGATTATCAATTTCACGCCACCATTACCTTATTTCAAGCCTCAATTAATCTAAATACTTACTTAATGATCAATTTCTCGAATTCAATTCAAATTCTAACCTTAATATATCTCAATCTGCAATTAATGATAAATTCAATGTAAAACAACTCTAAAATAACCAATAAACATCATTTCAAATATCAATTAGGATAAACACTTACTTAGCCATCAAATCCTTAAATTCAATTCAAACTTTAAGTAATCAATTCTTAATCAAAACATAAATTCTATTCTAATTCATTCAATTCTCATTTCATTTTTCTTTAATTATATTTATAACTTAATTTTTCATTTTTCCTTAATTCTTTTCAATTCAAAACCCAAATTTTGAAATTAACTATTCATCATCTTCAACTTCTCAAATTTATCAAATTCAACTTTATATTCAAAATAGTTAAAATCCTTCACTATCAAACCTTAAAATCATCAATAAACTTGCATAAACATCTTAAATTAATGACTAAGCTTAAAAAATCTCACCTTTGTCAAATAGGTTTTCAACCTCAACTTAAATCCTTCAATTTCTTCAAGCCTTCCAAGCTTAAATCTAGCTAAATACTAATGTATTTAGGCAAGATTTTAGTAACCAAATGGAGGAGGGGGTATGATTCGGTTTTTAAGGGAAAAAAATGAAACAAAGAACAAATGAAAGTGGCAGTGACAAATTTGGGGGCAAATGGTTGTCTTTTTAAAAAAAGTTTTCCTCATTTTGTTAATGTTGGTCCCTATATTATTAGGTTTGCTTTATTCTAGTACTCTAATTTTATTTACTTTAATGATTTTCTTATTCTTTACTTAATCTACAAAAAAAAAAAACTACTAAACTTTATTTTATTTTTGGATGCGTTATTACATACAGGTCGATATAAATAGTGAATGAGGAATCTTAATTTCATTTTTCATTATTTACCCACGTTGTTTGGCATCTAAATAGATTACTAAAGAAAAAATTTGATACTTTATCTATCAAGTTTCAATCCAACATAACTATCGAAAAAGAAAACAAAATGTCAAACTAAAATCAAATTACATAAAAACACTTTCATGATTTTATAAAATATTTTGAAAATTAAAGAAAAAAAGTTAATATTAAAAAATGATATTTTATTCATCAAGCTAATAATACTCATTAAATAGTTTTACGAGTTAGAAGAATAAAATATTTAATTTTCTTAAAATTTGTACAAATTGAAAAAAAAAATATAGAGAATCTAAACCCAAATAGCTAGATCACAGAACGAAAGGGAAAAAATAATAATTAATAACCTACAAGAGGATGGTGATAGTAGTGAAAATGGCAAATTTATATACTTGTATAGTCAGTCTGGATTACGTGGGCTTCCCCATCAACAATTCCTGATCCAAACTTGCAAACAGCTTCTTTGACAGATAGAAAATTAGGTGTCATCTTATCAGTTAGACCTCTATTTAGAATTTTTCATTACAGACAACTAAGTATCAGGTTCTACATTTTCATTCCTATCAAGGGTAAGTTTAATCCAGTGAAATGAGAATGACGTTCATATTATACGGGTTGATGATGAAGGTTATACACTTATACTGTTATATACAGAGAGGAGTCATAGCTCTAGAATTTTTACATCTTCCCTTGACCTAATTATAAAAAAAAAAAAAATAGACATGTTAGTTTTGTCATTATTGGAATTATTAAAATAAATTATAAAATTTTTATAGGATTAAAAATATAGTTGAAGTTAGTTGATGACAGTATAAATTAAGGTAAAAGTATATTATTTTCTTAAAAAAGATTCAAGCTTTTTTGCATAGGCAACAATTTTATATATAACTGTTGCAGTAGATGCTTTATAATTTGTTTCTTTCAAAATACAATAGTCCGATTGTCTGTTGTTCGCTGATAGATCTTTCCATAATATCTATTTAATTTCTTCTTTTTCGATTTTTTTAAACAAAATAAATTGAAAAAGAACATAAAATAAAAAAAAGGACTAATTGATTTTTCTTTAACAATGGGACTAGTTAATTTGTTCTTCAAAGCCTGAGTGAATAATTTATAATTTACACAATTTTGCCCCCAACTCTTGCCGTGCCATATCAGGTTATATGCAATAATTGTCAATCTTTTATGCGTTTAGCTTTCGCGTTTTTTGTTTTTATTTATTTATTATTATTATTGGCTTTGCTCCTTGAGTTACTTGGGCCATTCTGCATCGGGCGTCCATAATGCTCTAATTCTCTCTCCCTATTAGACAAATAACTTTAAGCTTAGGGCAACATCAAATTTATCGATTAGGCTTTCATTCAAGCCTAGCATTAAATCACGGGCCTGCTTTAGTCAAACCCCAAACACTACTCAGAAACAAAATTTAGGCTGAAAGTAACCAGGTATTCTACTAACCCTTGCGAACATGGGCATGGCCTAACGAATGAAATGTTGCACTGAAGAGAGTATACGGAAACGTTCATGGACATTTCGATCATTTAACAAACATCCCTTGCACACAAAGGAAGAATCTACTTCTTGAATTGGTTGATTGGTTTCCACCTCCTGGTTAAGTGGTAGTGTCAAATGTGTCCCAACTTCAGCTGCCCGGCGACTAAAGGCACCCCCACATTTCATACGGCAAAGATACGTTTGACGAGCCGTCATTTACAGTATGAGAAATTGTGCACCAAATAGAATGCGATAAAAAAAATATCCTGCTAAAGATAAGAGTTGAGCTCCATTTGACAATTTCAGCTACCTAATTAATTTTTTTCAAAAGAGAGAGAATAAATAATATTAGTCAAAAGGTTCGATATTTTGAATAAGCCTAGAGCCGTTAGCTCTCTCCTCTCGCCAACCGTAAACGTCCCGATCCCCGATCAACAGTCCCCACAACAATCATAGCGGCCCTGATCGGAGGAGGAAAAAGCAATCATAGGGTCATGGCAAACAGCTATGCACTGTCCTGGGGGGACCTTTAAAAACCTCGACATTTGAACAATTATTGACAGAAATCCTACAAAATTTCGTGGAAGGTTAGCTGCTTTCGACATCATACCACCCTTAAAAGCACCTTTTCTTTTTGAAATTCCACTAGGCCACTTATAGCTCCGGCTAAACAGGAAAGCATCTCCTCTCTCTCTCTCTCTCAAGCTTTTATGACCATAAAAAGACACAAGAACCAAACTCCAATAATAGCAATGAAGAATCACAAAAAAAATCTAAAAGAGGCAGAGTGACAGAAAGAGAACTGAAAAAGAGATTTACTTGTCATCATCATTCTTCGTTGCTCGAGAGTTACTACATTAGCATTAAAAACCACCCCACTATATATATATCCAAAAAAGACAAAAGAGAAAGCACTAGACAATGCCGTATCAGGATCTAACAGCCCATTACACTTTCTCACATAATAATTCACAGTTATAGTTAGAAATAAAAAAGATAGAAAAAAAAATCCTCAAAATTGTTTCCTTTTCTCCTCCATCTCTGTCCATGGACATGACCCATCATCAAACCTTACATAACATGTTCTCACTTTGAGGGCTCTTCATATATAGACAAAAACCACCATCAAAACATAGTAGTAGTATTTTCTTTTTCTATTTTTTTATAGGGGAAATCTATAAGCTTTTTTTTTTTTTTTTCTTTTCTTGGTTAAAATAAACTCCTTTGCATTTTCCATTTCATTTTTAAGCTGCGGCAACAGTGCCTGTACGAGAAGGGTAGTCCTGAGCTTTAGTAGGGGATGGGGATTTCTTCTGGTCTTTTTTCCTTAATGCTTTCATAGATGAAGAGAGATTCCAGTTCTTCTCTTTGGCTTCATCTATATCTATTTGCTCCTGTCTGCACTCTTCACTGCAGAATGGCGTGTCCCCTCTGCAAAAACAAATTTCACACATCAGAATCCAACCCATAAGTTGTAGTACCACGATATGCTAAAGATTACACAGGAAAACCGAAATCAAAATTAGCCACCTCTAATTTCCTGAAGCACCCAACAAACAAAAGTGATTGCTTCTTCCATTCCTTCTACTCACTTAGATTTCTTTTTCGCCGATTTTATCGAAGATATTAATAGAGGTCTAATAATTAAAATTTATTGGGCCACATTAATACAGAAAGCTGTTCTTGCCCAACAATTGACAGATTGATCTTGTAAGTTAAGTTGGATTTATAGAGATTTCCAAGTCCAATAAAATTGAAAGTAAACAGAAATAAAATTAGCAGTAACTAGAACTGAAAAAAGGAGAAAAACGTAGCTAACCTGTACATGAAGATGTCTCTGTTATCGCCAAGTGGTTTCTTGCAAAGAAAACAAGCTTCCAAGAAATGGGGTTGGTGATCCTCATATCTAGAGTCACAAAACCTTGCCGATCTTGGAGAAGACACCAAAGATGACAGGTTTTTAAAACTACCTCTTCTCGCATAACAGAGTGACCTGGAGAAGAACGGGCGATGGTTCCCTGAAAACCCGGCTTCCATATCTGCAAGAGAAGCTAACCCATCATCTTCCTCTATGAAACAAGGCCGTCTTGAGGATGAGAACTCCATGAGTAATATTGGTAATGAAATGATATTAATGTTTAGATGTAATTTGCCGCTTAGGGTTTTCTCTTTTCTTGTTCAAGTTTTGCTTCTGAGAGAGAGAGATATGAGGAGGAAGTGACGGAAAGAAGAAAGGAAGAAGTTGGTTTTTATTAAAGATGAGTGGGTGAAGGGCAACGAATGGCAAGTTTTTAAAGCAAAAGAGAGAAGGGGAGAGGTATAAACAACGGCAGGCATCAGGAATCCGTGTAGATGAATCTATTGGCTCAAAAATACCTGCATCTCCAAGTCCAGTTGATTTGATTTTTTAGTTACAAAAAAAATGGGTTAATTACCCCTATTCTATCACTTAATTACAAAGATGTCATTGTCGTCTAATTGAATCGTGTGTTGAGCGAACAGTGGGTTTGTAATTTTTATCAAAATGAAGGGGAATAATTCATGGAATTCTTGATTTGGACCCTTAAAATCACCTTCCGCGAACCCCACAAGCGACCAACGTTACAACGTCAATATCTGAGAAAGCCACGCTCGTTGATTGCGCGTTAGCGTAACGTTCACACTCTCCCCAGTCAAGGGCTTGTTCTTTGTATAGACTTCATAATTGTATGAAGAAAAGATGAATTTTGACTGAAAACATTTCATTTTTTTTTAACTTTATGATCCTATGTGCATGTGATGGTTAACTTTTTTAACCATGAAGTTTTAATTATTTGAATTTGGCTCTTTCAGTTTGTATTTTGAACAATGAATGAGCAAATGAAACGTAGCATCAAATGAAGTACTTGTGATCTTTTGATAAATATATTTGAAGACATTCGTATTTTAACTTATTAATTTTCAATTTCTATATTGTTAATCAATTTCTATATTGTTAAAGTAAAACAAATTAATGAAAAAAATAATTTTATATTGGTCCAAATAATTAAGTTTTAAGTCTCACGTCTCACATTTCTCTTGCTTGGGGCATAAGAAATTTTTTTTGTGTAACATAGTTATGTAATATTTATTTATACCAAAATAATGATATTGTTGGAGGACAAACTTTATTTTTCGTGCCAAACTAAAAACGCGTTTGAGAATTTTCTTTCAACTATCCTGGGCGTGCTTCTTCTTCTTTTTTTTTTCTAATTTAATTGATTCTTAATTGTGAAAAAAATCGAAGAAAATCACATAAATTAATGATTGATGACAAGTGTAAAACCAAAAAACACAATGTCATTGATTAAGAGAAGAAGAAGAAGAAAGGTCTTTCGTGTCCTTTGAAACTTATATATTGTTTTTTCTTTTTTGATCTTAAACCATCACTACAATTGGCATTGTTAACCTTTGATGTTTTATACGATTTATAATATTCTTGTTTTAAAAACATGGAGCTCGATAGATTACGTGAGTAAAAAAACTCGGGGAAGGAAGAAAATATTAAGATTTGTAGGATTATGACAAGCATGAATTTCATGGGGTAACAATTTAGAAGCAAATTGTATATATATGTATATATATACGTTTTGTCGTCTGGCTTAATGAAACGCTCGTGCTATTGTGGTGAGGAATTTAAACTTCCATTCTGAACATACAAACATGGATTATAGCCAGTACAACCAAGGTAGTTTTCTTTTTCTTCTTTCTCTTTTCAGTGACAAAATGCAAGATCAAAAAGTTTAGAGAGATCTTCTTTTTGTAGCCCTTGTGTAGTTGTAGTTGTGTCAAAACGATTATTTGTATTGTTTTATTCCTTTCTTTTTTCAATTATTATTGATCCAGCTAAAATGTCATTCAATTTACTCCAATGGATAACATTAATTTATTATGAGAAAATGTTCACATAATTACCAATCGTAATCAAGCTTTTTAGAGGAAAAGTTTTAAAATCAAGAGTAACTAATAAATACTATCAATCAAAATGGATAAGATTGCGTTTCAATTAAAGAATATCAAATTAAATAAATTAAACATAAGACATGGTTTAACTTTTGAATAAAGATACAAGATTATTCGAAAATTTGATCTTTTACGTAATGGCATGAGTATATTTTGCATACACAAATGTCGTTTGTAAACTTTTTACATATATAAATAATTCTTCAGGCCAAGTAGGTCTTTTAAACCTCCATCTATTTACAACTGTTATATGCATTGACTTGTAATTTAGATATATCAGTGAACACATATCTAATGAAATGAATTAAATCTAAGATTTTTAAATTTGTTTTTTGTATGTAAAAAAAAAGTCTTTAATCTTCTAAAACTCCGTTATGAAAACAATATCATGTTTTAGTTATAGATATCTATATACCCAAAAAAACGCAAAAACAAACCAAACTAACCTATCATTTTACATCAATATTTAAACAAGTATCATCTTTGTTACAATAAAAGCATTCTATACGCAATAATAAATATAAATATTGAGAATATGTAATATTTAAAGTTTTTGTCTTCTTCTTCCTTTTATTTTAATGGGTTTAATACATTTCGTATTTTTATATTTTATTGAAATTATCATAATGATCGCCTGTATTCAGCTATGGTTCATAACCAACTTTATATTGTTAAAAGTTGATGTAAAATAGCCTTTTTGTTATCTTTTTCAGTTATCTATAAAATTGCGTTTTACTTTTAAAATGATAAGTATCGATATTGTATAGGTTATTCATAAGTCAACTAGTGAAAGTTATTTAAACAAACAGAAAAAAATAACGAAAGGGTCATTTCACATCAATTTTCAGTAATAGAAGATTGATTATTAATTATATCATGATATAAGAGCTGTGATGATAATTTCGTTAAATTACATGAGTATGGGTATATATATATATATATATATATATATATATATATATATATATATATATATAGCAAAGGAGGGGCTTGAATGAAAAAAATAAAATAAAACGAGAGGATTAAAAACAAATATGTAATTACATCAGGACGAGAGGTCATGTAGTATTCTTAAAATTTGTGCTAGTTCTTCCAGTTACGAGTTTTCAGTATTCTTAAAATCCGTGCTAGTTCTTCTAGTTACAAGTTTTCAATACACTCGAGGATTACAAATTGCTTCCCAAAATATCTATGATACAAGAGTTTAAAGCTGGATTAAGGATCCATGTCTTCTTCACATTACAAATAATTGTTATCAAGTTCATATACGAACTTGATTATTAATGGTTTATGTACGAAATCAATTTGTTTAATACAAACTTTTCATTAGTAATTTACCTAATAATTTAAAGTTAATTATCTAATTAAACCGCATGTTTCTATATATGAAATCAATCAGTTTAATGTAAGTTTCACGTTAGTAATTTGACTAATGATGTCAAGTTAATCAAATAATCAGATGACACGTATCATTTGATTATTGACCTTGTTATTTTATTTATTTTAATTTTCATTATTTAAATTATTTGTAGAAATTATATATAAAAAAGATGACAAATTTTTTTATAGTTTTTTTCAATTTTTTTATGATTTTTAGAAATGTTAAAAATAAAAAAATAATAAATCAATGGTTAAAAAAACACGTATCATCTAATTATCCGATTAATTTAATATTGTTAACTAAATTATTAATAAATTAAGCATGTCAAACAAATTGATTTAATATAAACATTTACCTAAAATTGAATTAGATATAAAAAGTTAATTAAGAGATTATTAGCAATATAGAAATGATACGAATCATTAACCCCTTTAAAAAGTAAATAAGTTCTTTACAATTTGAATATTGTTAGCTAACTCATTATGATTCGCATTTGAAATTGTAATTCGCATCAAATTAATTGATTTGTTTTTTCCCTTGTAAATTCTGCAACATGCCACGCGCCACACAGTGCAAGTACGTGTAACCATGGTCAGGTGCCTCAAATAATACCCTGTACACTTGTTCTGTACTCTCATCCCCTCCTCCAAAGCCCACGGTTTCCCTTTACTCTTACCACCTTCCCTTTCACTCAACCCGTCCATGTGACATCACCTGCCCTTACTTTTTAACCTTCGTTCTTTTGTCCTTTTCATCCTCCTCCTCTTTTCCCAAACCCTGGGACCCATAAAGGACCCACCTCACTAAACCATTAGCGATGGACCCTCACACCCAGCCATGCTTTTCTTTGATGATGGAGTGGGCTGTGATGACTAGAGAGAGACTGAGAGAGCGCTTTCTGGCTTTTGTGTCAAAGACAAAGTTGAATGGGGCATTCATTGAAAGAAATATCTTTTAGCTCAACCTTCCCAAGTTCCTAATTAAGTTAAATACTTTTATAATAGCAAAAAAAGGCAAAAAAAAAAAAAAAAAAAGAAACTCTCTTTTCAACTCAAATCTTTGTATGCACCTCAAATGTGTTGTACTGCATTTCTCGCTCCCACGAATCTGATTGTCAAAATAATAATAATAATAATAAATAAATAAATAAAAGAAAAATCTTTATTTACTCTTTTTTGAAATGAAAATTTAAATAATTGTATCACCAAATCCCAATTAATTCGTTTATAGGAATTCCATAACTATAATTTAATACTTGAACGATATTTTTTATATTTGAGTATGCATATTTAATCAATAGTTTGGGGAAAAAAGGAAAAAAATTGGTATCAATGTTGCCTTTTAAGAAATAATTACATTGCAAATCTATCAATTTTTAATTTTTTTCCCAATCGAATATATAGATTTTGATTTCTTTCTTTTGAATACATTAATTTTTTCAAAATTATCAATTCAGTTTTTTCATTAATTTTTATATTAATTAATGACATATCTCGTTATCCTTGGATATTAAATTAAAATTTTTATCTATATTTTCTCAATTGAGTACATCGATTTTAATTTTTTTATTTAAATACACTATTTTTTTTAAAAAATTATTAATTAAGTATTTTTGTTAATTTTTTATTAACTAATGACGTGCTCGTTACTTTTAGAATACCAAACTGTAATTTTGTTTTCTCTTTGTTCAAGAGAACTTTCCTCTTAAATACTCACATGCAATAAACCTTTTAGCTAGATAAAA